AAATGGGTTAATTTAAGATATAAGAACAGTTAACAAGAAGCCTGCCACGGCCATACAGTTTATAAGTGATACAAGCGTCTGAGTGATTATTTTATAAGTGGATTGTAGAACTGCGGGGCTTGGGGAACCTGGAGAGAAGCTCTCCAGCAACAATAGTTGATTATGTTGCCTCTTTATGACAGCAGACAGTTGCCGGCCTTTAGGAACTGCATACACAATAGCGTTATTGTGGTTTGGTTTCTTTTGTTTTGTGAGCTTCTGTTGTGATCAGTTTGGAAACTGAAAGCCTTTTACCAGTTAGAAATTAGAACTTTACCCTTACATCTACCCTGGGGATTTAATCCAGGGCCTTGGGCCTTCCAAGCAGGCTCTGTACCACCAAGCTTTATCTCCAAAACAGAAACATTGCCTTTAGCCCAAATAATTTTACTACTATTTTTTATTTAAAAAAAAAAAACTTACCAAAATTTTTAAACAACCAATTTTAATGAGTTTTGCTTATAAAAATATTTTTATTCTTTTTACCATTAGCTGATATAATTCTAAGTAAGGGAAATAATTGAATGGTGCCATAAATGACACTTAGAAACTGTAGTTCAAAGCTTCAATTTAGGTGAGAAAGAATCCTTCAAAACACTAAATTATTTGTCCCTGGATTCTTAGCAAATAACTGGTAGGCCAGAACTGGAAGTAAGGTTGGTTCCACACTTTTTTAACTTTAGATCCTAATAGTAAGGCTTTTATAGCTCAATGCTCACACTTACAAACTCGGTCTGAAATGTAAAATGTAAATGTAAAATGAACTCTTCAGCTGTGTTGTCCTAAAAGTGTGAGGGGATTGTTTTCTAGTTGTGACCTCTAATAAGTCCGTTCTAGACACAGTTTTGTCTGTAACCCAAGCTGTGTTTACAGCTTTGAGGTTCAGATATATGTTATATTATATTATATTATATATAAGTATTTGCATATTTGAATGTATTTGATATGCTTTATTTGAAAACAGACAAACATCTTACTTTTCTTTTATTCAGTAAATACTAGTTAAACAGCTACTATACATTAGGCTAGACAAAACTGGGACTTGGCCAGCTAGAGCATACCTGGGCTTTCTCAAAAACTGTGAATATGTCAAACGCCAGGCAGGAGACTATCCAGACCTGGCTAACTATGCTTCAGGGTTTGGAGTGGGTGCCAGGTCACCTGGAAGCTC